ACGGCTGGGCTTGTCAATCACCTGGCCAGAGATCCTGCCTCAGGAATGCTATTTCACCCAAAGTCCCGATCAGAAGATGGAGGAATTCCCTTAGTGGAACAATGTACTTATCTTACCCTCAGAGCTGCCATCATGAAGCACTGTGACCTCTCACCTTTCTGCATTACTTAGAAAAGCACAACTTCCCCCCCCCCCTTCCCCTGTCCTGTTCTTTCAGGTACTGGCCAAAGCCTGGGCATGCTCTTGCAGATTCTCTGGGCTTCTCACCCTTTGTCTCTAAAGCCTCCCTCCCCTTCTGGGCTATTTGCTGACCTCTGTCACAGAACCTGCCTGCTTTCCCAAAGGCATGACTTCTCTCCCTCTTCTCCATCCCTTCCTCCTGGCAACTACTGAGAGTCATAGTTGGCCTGCTCTGCTGTTTTTCTTTCCAACTCGAATAAAACTGTCCTTGAACATCCTTCCGAGTCCTTTCCTAAATTCTCTTATTAACAAAACCGAGAACCCAAAGAGGGACCCCGGTATCCCCAGTAACACTAGTCTCCTTTTGTGCCTACAGAACTCCCTGGACAAGCAGTGGGCACTCACTAAAGACTCCAACAGAAACATGCCTTGTCACCTAGGTCCTAAAAATAACTGTGCCCTTTGTGGTGGACGCGGCAAGCTCTCATCCCTGGCCCTGCCCCTCTCACACATCCCTCTCCCCCAAAGGTGCTTCACACACCAGACTTCATGTGTCTGCTTGCCTGATCTCACCGTGAACAGCTTCCAGTCTCTTCTCTACCCCCACCCTGAATTCTCATCCCTCCGTCTTGCAAGCCAACCTCCACTGGTAGGCTCAGGTCCCTGAGTCCCTAACTGTCTTCTTGGCTGCTAAGACAGTGGGATCTTCAAGAGCACAATCTCAAAAACAAAACAAAAACACCCTAACGCGAGTGATCACAGAGCCAGCCTTGACTACAGCACACTCCACCTTCAGCTTCCTGGTTCCTTGGTGACACTCCCCAATATCAACAAGATCATCACCGTTCTCACTAATCTGAAAACCCTTCCAGAAACATCCTGTCATCTGACTCTCTCTCTGCTGGAGGCAACCATTTGTCAGCCATAGGACTGGGACTATGTGGTTACATGGTTTACCCGGGTTAGCCAGCCGATGAAAACTGTCCTCCAACCCTGTAATTCTCTATCACCTTCCATGTATGGGCGCCAGGCCTGCATCTGTGTATGTACACACTTACATGACTGGTGCCCACCAAGGTCAGAAGAGGAGGTCAGATCCCCTGGATGTTACAGACATGTGAGTGGCTATGTGGATGCTGGAAATCAAACCTGGGTCCTCGGCAAGAGCCACAAGTGCTCTGCGGTGCTTCGAACCCACACTAGTCCCCATAGGCTCCTATGTTTGACTAGGTGGCTTCCAGTTGGTGGCTGTTTGGAAGGATGAGGCGGGACCTTGCTGGAGGAAGTACGTCACAGGGGGCAGCTGTAAGGGTTCTAAAGACTCACAGTATTCTGAGTTAGTTCTCTCTGCCTCCTGCTTATGGGTTGAGATGTAAGCATTCAGCTGTTTCTGCTGCTATGGGACTTTGCTCTACCATCATGGACTCTGACCCTCTGAGAGCATAAGCCCTATTAAACACTTTCTTTTATAAATCGCCTTAGCCGTGGTATTTTGTCACAGCAATAGAAAAGTAAATAATACCTGCTTTTTTTTTTAATGATTTACTTATTTTTATCTGGTGTGCATTGGTGTTTTGCCTGTATTTATGTCTGTATGAGGGTGTCAGATCCCTATGAGCTGGATTACAGACAGCTATGAGCTGCCATGTGGGTGCTGGGAATTGAACCTGGGTCCTCTAGAAGAGCAGCCAGTGCTTTTGTTGTTGTTGTTGTTTTCTGACAGGGTTTATCTGTGTAGCCCTGGCTGTCCTGGAACTCAATTTATAGACCAGGCTAGCCTCAAACGTACTGAGATCCGCCTGCCTCTGCCTCCTGAGTGCTGGGATTAAAGGTGGTGGTTCGGCCCCAGCCAGTGCCCTTAGCAGCTGAGCCATCTCTCCAGCCCCCAACACCTGCTCTTAACCACTGAACCGACTCCCCAGCCCCTGTCCCCTAACTGTTCAGTTACCCTCACCCTACTCTTTCTCACATCAGTGGGCAGGATCACCAGAAGCTGACCATTCCACCGGATGGCCAGTCTTCCCCACCATGACAACCAAGTGACCCCAGGACCTTTATTTCATGAGTTATGGTCAACAATCCTGATGTGGGCTAACCGGTTTTAGAGGTTATTGAAAGGTTTCATTCCAAACAAGGCCCAACAAATGTTCTTACAAATGCCAACTCCCACCAAGGGAACCTGGAGCTCGTGTATCCTCAGAGCTGTCCTATCTAGACACCACTCAAATTCCTGACATTCTGGAAAGACAGTGGGTTCGTGAAGAAGAGTCACAGAAACTGGACTATGTTCCTTGGCTGTGCCTTTGAAGCACAGCCACACCCAGACTCTCCCACTCCCATGGGACCAAGTGCCAGGAACTGCCAGAAAAGCAGCTAGGAAGGGAAGAAGAGAAAGCGCCAGGCCTTCTGGGAACAAAGCATGCAATCCCATCCACCCTGGGTTTCTTCTGTCTCCCAGAGTTCCCTCTCCTGCCATCCCGAACTACCCATTAACCCCTGGGTCACAACACCCAGGCATCACCGATCAAAGCCTTCTAGATAAACTGAACTGAGACTGCCCTTTCTCTTCTCCTTGTCATGGCTACAAAAAGAACTCAAACAGCTGAACTTGCTTGTTTTTGTTTGAAATAAACATTTAAATTGTAACTGTGTGTGTGCCTGTGAGTGCATGGGCAAGCCACAACTTACAGGAGTCAGTTCCCTCTTAACACTATGTGAAAACATAAGATCAAACTCAGACTGGAAGGTGCAGGTGCCTCAGAAAAGGTCTCATGTAGCCCAGACTGCACTCGAATTCACTATGCATCTTCCCCCTGCCCCGAGGATGCTCAGTGTTAATTACATTTACTCACTTTGTGTGTATTTGTGTGCACTGGGATGGGGGGTGGGGGGTGGAGTGTATACCACTGGACTTGTGTGGAAGCCAGAGGAGAATCTGTGAACATCAACTTTCCATCTACGGGGTCATCTCTCTGGCCCCAAATTCCTTCTGTATCTGAAACTGGCTTTGAACTCCTGATCTTCCTGCGATCTCCTGAGTTCTGGGATTAAAGGTGTGAAACTCCACACCCATCTCTTTCATACACACACACACACACACACACACACACACACACACACACACACACACACACACAGAGTCTGGATGCATTTCTCCTCTACTTCCCCACTCTTCCCAGCCTATCCTGTGGCTCCAATACTCAAGCCACAAAGACATTACTTCTCTGGCCCGCCTCTCATCCAACCGACATTTCCTTGTTCACTTAAAAGGAAAGGCTCATCGTGGGCACTCTGAAAGAAGTCTTAAGGGATGATTCAGAAACAGCCTCCACGCTCCAAAGACTGAGAATAGCGCAAGGTCAAGACACCTGGTCATACAAACCCAAAGTGGAGGAAGAGGGCTGTCCTGTCCCTCCTACTGGGGAGCAGCAGCCGGTGAAATGGCTTGTGAATAAGAAATGGTCAGAATGTCGGAAAGAGGGCAGGGTGGTATGGGCCGAGACAGGGCAGTTCAAGCTGGCTGCACCCTCTGCTCTTGCTATCACTGTGTTATCCACTAGCCGCTCCATCTGATTCTGATACACCAGGCCTTGCCATGTGTGCTTTATGCCTAACCTGAGCATTATCCAACTGTGATAGACCAGCCGCTACCTGTTCTAACTGGTCAATACCTGAGCACTGTAGAGCTGTTAAAAACATTAGCTTGCTGGGCATGGTGATACATGCCTTTAACACCAGCACTTAAGAGGCAGAGGCAGGTGGATCGCTTACTTCCAGGCCAGCCTGGTCTACACAGTAAGTTCCGGGACAGTAAGAACTACATACAGAGACTCATCTCAAAAAGAAAAAAAAGTAAGAAAATAACAAACAAAAAACCCAACAAACCTCAAGGATATCCCATACCCTCTTCTGACCTCCAAGGGTATCAAGGGCACCAGGCACCCACATGGTACACAGACATACATGCAGGCAAAAACACCTATACACATAAACAAAATATTTGTTTTAAAAATTGTAAAAAAAAAAAAAATAGCTGGGTGTGGTGGTGCACACCTTTGACTCCAGCACTCAGGAGGCAGAGGCAGGCAGATCTTTGAGTCTGGGGCCAGCCTGGTCTAGAGAGAGAGTTCCAGGATACCCAGGGCTACACAACAACAGCAACAAAAACTGTAAAAATAGAGTAACTCATAGGGCTAGAGAGACATCTCAATGGAAAAGTGCATACTGCTCTTGCAGAGGATCAGAGTTCAGAGTCAGGGAGCTCACAACTGCCTGTAACTCCACCTTCAGGGGATCTGAACACAGACACTTAATTAAAAATAATATAGTCAACTGGGTAGTGGTGGTGCACATTTTTAACCCCTGCACTTGGGAGGTAGAGGCAGGTGGATCTCTGAGTTCAAGGCCAGCCTGTTCTACAAAGTGAGTTCTTAGGACAGCCAGGGCTACACAGAAAAACTTTGTCTCAAAAAACCAAAAGTAAATAATAAAAAACCAAAATCAATAATATAAATTTTTTAAAACATTAACTTGCTGGGCAAGGTAGCACATGCCTTTAATCCCAGCACTCAGGAGGCAGAGGCAAGATCTCTAGGAGTTTGAAACCATAGGGAGACCTATGTTTCATAAACCAAAAAAATCAACAACAAAATATTAACTGGCTAATCCTCACAATAAGTCTATGAAACAGGAAATATAATTTTCCTTATTTGATGGATGAGGAAATCAAGGTGCAGAGATTAATGATGGATCGGAGAGGGATGGAGGAAAGTGCCCAAAGTGGGCATCCTGTGTTAGAGCCACAGACTGCCCTCACTCACCTGGCTGGCCTGGTTAGAGGACACGAAGCACAGACAAGCGTTGAGGGAACTGCCCTGCTGTTAATCCTCCTGGAATTCTCGACTGAAGCAAGGAAATGATGAAGGAGCATAATGAGAGCAAGCTGAGGGTGAGCAAGGCAGCTGGCCCTGCCCTACAAGGCTCCAGGCACCGCCAACCTTTTGACTATAACACACACTGTCATCTACAAAGTTTACACTTGAGAGCAGTTCAATTCAGTTATCAAAAAAAAAAAAAGCTCATGTTAAATTTACTGATTTTGTGTAGGACTGTATTCGTAGCTTTTTTCCTCATTATGTAGCCCCAGGGCACGCTTGCTCGTAAATCGCTATTATCGGGCAGGGCAAGGCAGCAGGGAACTAGTGGAGGCCTATGAAGGGAACAGACTTGGGGTGACGGTGGATGGTCGGGTCCGAGAAACACCATCTCCATACACACCCACTAATTATCGGGTGGGGAAGAGAAATCCCCAAAGAGAATGAGCCCAGCTTGAGCTTAGCTGTTTGCTACCTAGTTACGTCGTTAGGAACCGGGCCTGAGTCCAAGGGAAGTGGGGGAGCCAAGCCCAAGAGTTCCTCGGACTCCGGAACCGGGGTGCAGGCGGGGGCGGAGGGATCCTAGCTGGATAAGCGTTAAGGAAAGCAGGCCACACAACACCTGGCACGATCCCGCATTCTCTGGACGACGTGGGAGCCTGCCTTATATAAACCCTAGGTGGCAGGTTCAGGAACCCGCGCCCTGCAGTTCCGGAGCAAAGTTCCCAAAGACAGCCTTCTGGGCCGGCTCCAGCTTCTCCCGGAAGCGCACCGAGCTGGGGAGACCTCAACCACCCCTAAGCTCGCACCCGCTGGGGTCCCAAGCACACTTGCCGGGACCCTGCTCCACTCAGGGCCCTGGCCTCGGGGGACCCTCGCACCCCAGGCCGAACGCGAACAACCAGCCCGCGCAGGTCGCCCGCCAGGACCCTCACTCACCTGGCACCGGGGACCCGGCGATGAGCTCGACTTGCAGTTCCTTCCCACTGTCGCTTTCCCGGCTCCCGACCAGCGAGCGACCCGTCTACGTACGGCCGGAGGAGCCCGCGGGGCGGAAAACTCTCCGGGTGCGGTCGCCTTAAGCGCCCCGGGGCGGAGCCACGTGGAGGGGTGGGGCCTCTCTAGAGTGGCGGGGTGCGTGGACCACGCCCACAGGTGAGGTCCGCGCTCCTGCGTGGGTCCTGCTCGCAGCTCAGAGCCGCTCTAGATCCCTAGGGAGTGGGATTTACTCGGCTATATGTTTTTAGAGATCTGACCGTGAAGAAAACTTTTAAAAGGTCAAACCACATGTACGACAGGAAGAAACTTCATAATGGAAAACCAACTGCCTCAGCCGGGTGATCAGGGCCAACATTAGCAGTGACGAATTATATTGCTCTTCTGTTGTATGGTGTCTTCCTCTCAGTGACACATGATCCAGTGTAATCGTGCAAAACCATCAGACAAGCCCCAATTGAGGAACTCACGACTGTCCAAAACTGTCAAGGTCATCAAAGCAAGGGAAGCCTGAGAAGCTGTCACATCAAGATATGAAAACTAAATTATGTGACATCTTGAATGGGATCCTGGGAAAAGGGCATTTAGGTTTAAAAAAATGACATTTGAACACAATATCAATATTGGTTCATTATAGCAAAAACACTAGTATGTTAATTACAGGAGAAAACCCATATTTATGGTAAACATGTCTTACCTTCCTAATCCTTTCTGTAAATCTAAAACTACTCTAGAAATTGTGTTTGGGGTTATTTTGTTTGCTTGTTTGTTTGTTTGTTTTTAGAAAAGGGTCATGCAGTAAATATGATTGTGTAACATATTCAAAAAGTAAAAATTGAGAGTCGTCTTTTTGATTTATCCCCCAGCTCACTTTTAGACACCTCCTTCCATGTGTCTGTCTAGCACTATGTGTGCATTGCTTACTTTGCTTAAGTAAACCTGTTGTTTATAAAACCAGATTGCAGTATATTTTCCTCACTGTATGTTGGAGTCTTTTCAATTAGCGCTTCTGAATCAACCAGATTCTTCCTAAGGATTACACAGTATTCTTCCAACCCCTTACGGAGTCGCAATTCTTAACTTTCTAACTCCCACCCGGTGTACACTTCCTTCACTGCCCACTTTTGACTTGCAAATAAGTCATTAGTCATTTGCATTTCAGGAGCCCAGTGAACAGTAAGAGCCTGAAGGCACCTGGTAGGCAGGTGCTTTGCTGTTGTCTGCCCTGAGCTGAGAGGGGTCCAGGTGCAGGCAGGAGCCTAGCGGGACTTCCCGGCTACTGCCACACAGAGAGCCAGCTCTCTGGAGCTGCCATCACCGTGTATGGTGGCTCTAACACATACACCTGCAGGCACCACTCCTTTCAAATCGGATAGTGTGCTTCGGACAGGAATCAGTGGGCCATCAGAAAAGCACCTCCTGAACAAAAGAGGAGCGCAGGGACAGAAAGAACAGGAACTGACTATTACCCTTGTGGGGACATTGGACTCATGTAAAGTCCGCCACCAAACAACTCCAAGCCTTTCTGGAATCCAGGGAGCTATTGTCACAGTCTCTGGGGCAGGGAGATTCTTGAGGGAATGTCACCTGGCTGCGACCCAGCTCCTCTGTCCCTTTCCTGCTCAACGCTGGTCTGCCCACAAGGGTGGGTTTCTGATGGCCCATTTTCTCTCAGGTGGAGCCAATGCTTCTTGGAATATGACATGTAAAAATAAATCGTTTGGGGCAGAGGTTCTCAACCTAGGGGTTGCGACCCCTTAGGGGAGTCCAATGACCCTTTTACAGGGGTTACCTACAACCATCTGGTCTTACTTACATTCACATCTTATTACATTTACATCAGATTCATAACAGCAGCAAAATTACCGTTATGACGTAGCAATGAAAATAATTTTATGGTGTGTGTGTGTGGTCACCACAACATGAGGAACATCAAGGGGTCACAGCATTAGGAAGGCTGAGAGCCACTGGTTTAGGGTGAAACTGCTTTCTGTGACACACAACTTTCTGCTTCAGAGCTCTTCAAACCCTGAATGTCAAATAAGCTACCTTCTATAATTTAATTTTTTTTCAGACAGTCTCAGGCTGGCATGGAACTAGTTGTGCAGATGTGAACAAAAATTCCTGAAAAGAAGCTGTCTGGCTGAGAACAAAAAACTGGAAGGAGTTTCTTCTGTGTCTGCAGAGACTGATGGCCGACCGAAAGTTCAGCACTGTGGAAAGATTAGAATTCTGCAGGGTCAGAGGCTAATTATCTTATCTTAGGCTAGTTTTAGCCTTCCAGAACTTTCACTCAGTATGGGAACTAACACCTCATGATAATAAATAAAAAACCTCTTAGAAGCTGCTAACTTAGAATTAACATCTTGTGACAATAAATAAAAACCTTAGAACTATTAAGTTAGTTTCCACAGACCCCAGAGCTAAAAAACGCCATCAGGTAACATCATGGGCCTGTGACTACCTCCCTATCTCATTGTCCTCCTGTTAATCCCAAAGATGTGAGGAGAAAGACCCCCCAAACCAAATCATCATGGCCAAATTAATTAAAACAAGCAATTAATTAAAGCAAGCTTTTTTTTTTATTTGTGTACGTGGGCTTCATCCCCCTAAGGTGGGGTTCAAGAGGTCAGCCTTGGACAAGGGGAAGATAAGGACTTTTATAGCTTAGGGATAGAAGGTTTCCAAATGGGGGATTTGGCAGGCAAATAGGCGGGGTTACAGGAGCAGAACAAAGTATAACAAGTTGGTCATAACAACCTCCTGAAACAAAGACATGATTGCAAGGCGGTCATACAATAGTTAGAACAACGTGGTCATAACAAGGTGGTCATAATAACTTTTTGTTTGTTTGTTTGTTTGTTTGTTTGTTTGTTGGGGCAGGGTTTCTCTGTGGAACACCACCATAGCTGTCCTGGAACTCACAGAGATCCACCTGCCTCTGCCACCAGAACTGGTATTAAAGGCATGCATCACCACTGCCCAGTCACAATAACTTTTTGAAACCAAGACATGGTTGCCCTTTCCTGGAACAGGCAGTACAGAACCATCTGTAGTTAAGATTGTAGGTGGGGCATAGCGCAATCTTTGAGAAACAGAGATTTAATTATAAACAGGATGAGTCTATCTCATCTTTACTGTAAGATGGCTTTCAAGCCTAAAATCAGGCAGGGGGGCTCATCACTGCCTCTGGTGTACCCACCAATGTATTTTTTAAAGATTTATTTATTTATTTATTTATTTATTTATTTATTTATTTATTTATTTATTTATTTATTTATATGTATACAGAAGAGGGTACCAGATCTCATTGCAGATGGTTGTGAGCCACCATGTGGGTGCTGGGAATTGAACTCAGGACCTCTGGAAGAGCATTCAGCACTCTTAACCTCTGAGCCATCTCTCCAGCCCCCATCAATGTATTTTAAACTTGCCTTGGTTTATTACTTCCCTGGTTCTGTAAAGTTATAGCGACTTCCTGAAACTGTTTCCCCCATTGGAACATGGAACTTGGGGAAACCTAAATCTTTGTTCATGAGCCATGGTCACCCAAAATGGCTCCAGGACAAGCTATCTCTTATTCCTTAAAATGAGAGCTGTGGTTTTTCCATCAATGCAAGTGAGGATGGCATCCGACTCCTGATCCTCCTGTCTCCAACTCCCAAGCACAGATGTTACAGGTGTGAGCATTACGCCTGGGTCTTCCTGCATGCTAAATGAGCACTCTACCAACTGAGCTATATTCCCAGCCTCACCCTTCTATTTTCAACAAACCTGTTGGAGCCCTAGCTCACAGTCAGTAAGGTGTTAAGGAGGCACTACCAAGGGCTTACAGAATACCAACGTGAAGGGCAGTGGCAGGAGTCACCCAGAGAACACTGGATGGGTGAAAAGGTGTGAAACTTGGTGTTTTAACCTCAATCTGACATTTACTTGTGATGCTGTCTTAATTAGTGTCCTATTATAAAAAGACTCCATGACCATGGCAACTCTTATAAAGGAAAACATTCAATGGGGGCTGGCTTACTGTTTCAGAGGTTTAGTCCAATATCATCATGGCAGGAAGCATGGCAGTGTGCAGGCAGACCTGGTGCTGGAGAAGGAGCTTGAGAGTTCTACATCTGGATCCACAGGCAGCAGGAAGAGAGAAAACACCTCTGGGCCTGGCTTGAGCACTTGAAACCCTAAATGCCACTCCCAGGGACATACTTCCTCCAATAAGACCACACCTCCTAATGCCACTCCCTAAGCATTCAAATATGAGTCTATGAGAGCTGTTCTTGTTCAAGCCACCACAGATGCATGCTGCCAGCTTTGGCACTCTTGCCTATAAAGTCTTCCATAGGATGGCCCAACTTTGCTGTGCTCAAGAATGACGTAGACACAAAAGAACCTGAAGTGCCTTATAAAGAAAGGTCCCTGCATAGAGCTCAGGAATAGCATGGTATTATCCATTTTCTTTCTTTTTTTTTTTTTAAAGATTGATTTATTATGTATACAGAAGAGGGCGCCAGATCTCATTACAGATGGTTGTGAGCCACCATATGGTTGCTGGGAATTGAACTCAGGACCTCTGGAAGAACAGTTGGTGCTCATAACCTCTGAGCCATCTCTCCAGCCCCCATTTGCTTTCTTATATCAAGCTATTCAATACATAATGGTTGAGTATAGCTGAAGTGACTGTCCCAGGACTTGGGGCCCAGGGCACAGGGATCACTGAACTTTTCTTTAAGAAAAATAAGGCAAAGCTGATGCACACTCAGGAGGCAGAGGCAGGTGGATCTCTGTGAGTCCAAGGCCATACTGGGCTACAAAGTGAGTTCCAGGACAGCCAGGGCTGTTACACAAGAAACCCTGTCTCGAAAAAAACAAAAAGAGGGCTGGAGAGTTGGCTGGGGGTTAAGAGCACGTGTTGCTCTTGCAGAGGACCTGGGTTCAATTCCCAGTTCTGCATGATGGTTAATAACCATCTGTACCACCAATCACGGGGGACCTAATGCCCTTTTCTAGCCTCCATAGCATGTATGTGGTTCACAGACTACTTGCAGTCAAAATAACCATACACATAAAATTAAAAAATTT